GGCCAGGAGTTTGGAGTTGGGGCTGAAGTGGCAGTAGGACAGTGGGCGATCATCCCCAATCTGACTGCAGAAATTATTCAAGGACTGTAAAAAATACAAAGAAAACCATCAATAAATGACTAAAGTGCAACCAGCCCAGAGCTATCCCCAGCCAAAGCTTGAGGTGAGGGAGGCAAATGTGCCCAGGAGGAGGCAGAGGCCCTTGGAAAGTCACTTTCAAAGGAGGAACTGCCTCGGAGCCAGGCAGGAGGGCCAGCATGGCCTGGGGGCACAGCTCAGCCCCCCAGGGTCATCCAATCTATGTTCCCCTCCAGCCCAGAGCTCTGCAGCTGCAGCTCTGACACAGAACTGCCTGGAATTTGGCATCTTTCCACAACTCATCCAAAGAATCCAAGCAGACAGACGGGGCAGAGGGGAGAAGCAAATCCTCTGGAGTAAACAGGATTAGGGGGGCAGCACACTCTGTGCCTGAGCTCTCTGCCTGGTTAAGCTGGGAATCTGGCTTAGCATGCTCAGAAAGGGCATCTCAGCCATGTTCAGCACCTGGAGCTGGGTATGTCCCTTGGATTCCCTGGCTCCCCAGACCTGTGCCAAAGCCAGGAATACATTCCTTTAGCTCACAGGCAAGTGGCAAGGCAAGGCAGGGATGTCTCTGCATCCCTCTGCCATGCACAGGGACAAATTACACCTCCCTGGAGCACTCTGAACATGCTTTAGAGACACAGGGAAAGAGAAGAAAAGCAGAACTTCCCAAGACTGCAGAGACTGTGGACATGTGGACAGCACCTCAGGCAGCTGAATTCCTGCTGAGCTCTTTGGAGGATCAGCCAAACGTTGTGAACACAGCAGTGGAGCTGCTGCCAGACTTACCCTCAGGGATTTGTGCAGCTCCTGCCTCTGGGATGTCCTGGTGGCCTCGGGAATCTCTTTGAGCAGCCGTGCCTCCTCCAGCCGCTTGGCTGCCCTGGGGAGAGCAAAGGGGGGTGAGAAGCCTCAGCACTGCCCCTTCCCTGCTGCTGGAAATGCTTTTCCCTGATCTTCCCCCAAACTGGGCTCATGCTGGATCAGTCCCTGACAGCTCAAGCTCGGGCTCACTGGACTTGCCTCCCCATTCCCTGGATTTCCTGTGCTGTGGGATCTGCACTTGGATTTGACAAATGAAATGGGAGTGAATTTTATTGAAGTGATGGCCACATGAAAAGGCCATCAAAGACGTTATTTCCAAACAAAATACTTTTCTATCCAGACTGGCAGTTCTGAAATAACTACAACAAATATATTTTTATCTCTTCATACATTTAGTTTCTCAGCTTGTGAGTGGTGACTGCTATTTGCAAGGCTTCTAAGGGAGATATTTTCACAGTACCAACAATAGTAGAACTAACAGGTAGTTTAGGAAGTATTGATGCAATGGGTGAAGCTAAGGCATAAGACAAATGAAGCATGTTCTGTTTTAAGCTGCCTTCACAGTCACTTAGTACAAACTAAGGAGAGTTTTTAGGCATTCCTCCACAATTTCATGATATATCATCTCTTATCACAGCGAAAGGATAGAGGGAGATAGACAAAAGAGGATTTAAATTTAGAAAATAATCTAACCCTGTATTCTCACAGTTATACTTTGGGGAAGGAGGGTCAGGAAAGAAAAAAAGCAACTTTACTCTCTTGGGTATAATTTCTAACACGGTTCCCTTTGGCCAAAATTCACTCCCTCCTCCTCTGTGCTGTTTTCTCTCACCTGGGGAGTGAGTAGTTGGCCAGCCACAGCCTGGCTGTCTTCAGACTGCGTGGGCCCTCGTGGTACCAGGTTTGCTGATACTGTAAAAGCAGGAATAAAACTGATAGAAAAGCTCTGGTGCTGCTGCCCCTGCATTCATTCCCCTCAGCTCCTCCCAGCACCTGCCCCCAAACCCTGCTGTATTCTGGCCTCTCTTTAAGGGCCTTCTGCACAACTGTAAGCCCCAGGAAAATGGAGATAAATGGAGAGATAAATCAAATTCTCTGCCCTACAGATCCAATCCTGACATTCTGCCACTTCACTCAGCATTCCAGCTGAACTCATCTGCATTTACTGACATGTAACTCTCCCCTTGTTTACACATCACCCAGTAAAGAGAAAGCCTAGAGCTGCAGAAATTATTTCTTACAGTACAGCTCAAAAATAATAAGGTAAAATGGACTCCGCAGAGAGACAGAAGCAGAAAGAGTAATCAAAGGCAGAAACAGATGCAGCAGCAGGAACAAAAGTAAGGGACTTGCTACACTAGGTAAGAGCCCACACATCTGCTCTCCTGTCTGCCCACTGAGTGCAGCACTGAGCTCGGTCTGCGAGTAAAAACCACACGTGGTGCTCCCTACTGAGACCAAGCATTGCCATAGCTTTGCTGAAATGGGCAACACAGAAAAAGCCTGAAGGGATGACATGAGAATCCACAGGCTGGCCAAAGCCAGGAGTCCTGTTTGTGTCCGACCTGGATACACCATCCCTCCCTCAGCACTGAGAGGACAGGAGACATCTTTACCTCTTCTTTGGACTTCTTGGACCTGTCATCATCTTTCCTGGTCTTTTTTAACGCATCTGTGCCGACCACTGAGAGGATGTTCCTTAACCTGGAAAAAAGACATGAAGCTGGATTTAGTCAGTGAATTCCTAGCTCACCTGACAAATAGCAGTGTGACATTCCCTCTGCCTCGGGGCTCTTAGAACAGAAATCCACACTGAGTTGGGTTGGAAGGGACCTTGAAGCCCATCCAGTGCCACCCCTGCCATGGACACTTTCCACTGCCCCAAGCTGCTCCAGGCCCCAATGTCCAACCTGGCCTTGGACACTGCCAGGGATCCAGGAGCAGCCACAGCTGCTCTGGGCACCCTGTGCCAGGGCCTGCCCACCCTGCCAGGGAACAATTCCTGCCCAATATCCCATCCATTCCTGCCCTCTGGCAGTGGAAGCCATTCTCTGTGTCCTGTCTCTCCATCCCTCCTGGAGCCCCTTTAGGCCCTGGCAGGGGCTCTCCAGAGCCTTCTCTTCCCCAGACTGAACACCCACAGCTCTCCCAGCTGCCCTGTGGCACAGCACTGCTGCCTGCCAGAGCTCACTGCACCCCAATGCCCAGGAAAACCTGAGGGATTTGCTAAGTGGCCAATCCCTGTTGGCAGACACAGCACCTCTCCCTGCGCTCTGCAGGCCCCTCTCCGAAGAGCGTGATGGGCTCTCCCAGGGCCCTCAGGCACGCCTTGACCTCGGAGTCATCCGTGGACACGTTGATCTGCCGGGCGCGCTTGCGGCGCTCGAACTCCGCCAGCACCTCGGCCTGGCGCTCGCTCATGTGGTCCTCGAGGTCAAACACCTCCCCTGGGACAGACACAGCCCTGAGCACACGGAACAGCTGGGAATGGGAGGGAACCCTGGGAATCACCCAGTGTGTCCCCCTGCCAAGGCAGGGTCACCCAGAGCAGGTGACACAGGAACGTGTCCAGGTGGGTTTAGGATGCCTCCAGGGAGGGACACTCCACACCCTCCCTGGGCACCTGTCCCAGAGCCTCTCTGCCCCTGGATTCCTCCCGAATGGGAAGATTCAAGCAAGGAGCCACCCATCTCTGACTTGTTTGAGGAGATGCCCCGAGATCAAGCAGAGACATTTGGAAGTGTCACATCTGCGGGGAGGGATAACAAAGGGTGGTTGCACATCCTCACCACTGCTGATGTTGATGTTGCCAGCCTCCATGGCAGCCTTCATGCCCTCCTTGCCCAGCAGCCCCGCCTCGCCCTTGGCCAGGCGCTCGCGCTCCTTCTCCTCCAGGCTCCCGTAGAAGATGGGCGCCCGCTTGGCCGGGGGTGCCTCGCCCTCCTCTGCAGGCTTGGCCTTGGGGGGCTGCAGGGAGAGGCAGAGTGTGGAGTGTGTCTGGGGATACAGGAGCCAACCAACAGCCTGGCTGTGCCACAGAGCCCAGCTGTGCCCGGGAAACCGCGCTGGCCACCATGCAAAGACCCTCTCAGAATCCCAGACTGCTCTGAGTTGGAAGAAGCATTAAAGATCACCCAGTCCCACCCCTGCCAAGGCAGGGACACCTTCCACTATCCCAGGCTCCTCCAAGCCCCAGTCAACCTGGCCTGGGATGGAGCAGCCACTGGACATTGAGGTTTTTGCCCAAAGGTCAAAGCGCAAAAGTAAAATACCACATTAAATTGCTTAAATCAGGCAGTGTTTTGTCACTATTATTTATTATCTGCAGAGGTAGGTTTTATAAAAGCTTTAGAACACGAAGCTTTTCCTCCTGCTGAGCGCCAGCACAGCCAGGAGCGATGTCATCCTCCAGCTCCCGGCGCCCGCCCTACAAGGCTGGGGAAAGTGAACGATGCCCGGATCCCTCCCTTCGGAGAGGCTCCTCTCGCGAACTTCCCGGGAAAACAATCAGGATTGTGTAAAAATGCAGGAAAACACGTGAGCCTTCAGGCTCCTTTAAATGGCTCCGGTGTCACCGGTGCATCGTAAACCCCACACAACAAGAGCAGTCCGACCCCCGCGGCCTCTCCCGCTCCTGAGCAGGCGGGGAACGGGCCCGGAGCCGCTCCCATCAACCGGGCACTCACCTCGGGGGGCCGGGCCGCGCCGCGAGCCGCCGGTGCTCGCGCGGTGGCCATGGCGGGAGCCGGACCGGGAACAAGACCAGGAATCGATAACAAGTCTGGAAGGGGAGCGGGAACAGGAACCAGACAACGTGAACAGAGCGAGATCCGCCGGGCTCGGGCTCCGGCGCCTCACAGCCACTTCCGGGTCGCGCGGGGCATGCCGGGAGGTGTGGCGGGGCAAGCGGTGCGCGCAGGGCACGGCGGGAGATGTGGTGCCTCTGTAAGGGCGGGACGCGCGGGGCACGCCGGGAAGCGTGGCGGGGTGAGCGGCCCGCGTGGGAAATGCAGTGCCCCTCTAAGGGCGAGACGCGCAGGGCACGCCGGGAGATGTGACGGGATGGGCGGGGCTCGCTGAGAGCGGGAGCGCTCGGTCCTGTCGCGGGTCGTCGGTCGCGATGCTCCGTCGGAAGCCGACTCGACTGGAGCTGAAGCTGGACGACATCGAGGAGTTCGAGAGCGTCAGGAAGGAGCTGGAGGTGCGCGCGGGGCCGGACGCGGGGGGTTCGGCCCGCCCCCGGCCCTGACGGCCCGTTCGCCCGCAGAGCCGCAGGAAACAGCGGGACGAGGCGGAGGCGGCGGCGGGTGGCGAGGAGGCGGCGGCGATCGGAGCGCTGGGCACGGAGCACAAGAGCCGCGAGCAGCTCATCAATGACCGCATCGGGTACAAGCCGCAGCCCAAGGCCAGCGGCCGCACCGCGCACTTCGGCACCTTCGAGTTCTAACGGGAGCTGCCCCGGCACGCCGGGCCCCAGCCCCGCTCAGCCGGGGCCGAACCGTCCCCCCTCTGAGCTGTTACGTTTTTTGGTTATGTCCGTGAACGCCCCTTGCCCCAGTGTTTTGTTTTAAATAAACACGTGGTTTTTTTAAGAAAATAATAATAATCCTACGAGCTGCTGTAATCGGCTGCAGTGGCCAGGTGGGGATGGGAACACCTGGACCACCCGTTCCCTGCTCCTGTGGGCAGAGGGATAAAACACTGCGGGAGGATCCTCTGGGAAAGGCATTTGGTGATCTTAAACCAGACAGTGGAGTGTGGCCACCTGAACCTCCAGCCCTACCTGCTGGCGGCCCCACTGAGGAGAAGTGTCTGATGAGTGTTTTGGGATAAAGGTGCCACAGTTTTGGGTGGCAGGCGCTTCTCTGTCCCGAGGCAACCGGGAAAGAATCCCCTGTCTGTTAAATCACCCAGTCCCAAATACATCCCAGAGCTGCTTCCCAATCTTTGTCACAGCTGGCATGTGGTCTGGACCCTGAGCAGGGAATGGTTGCAGACCTGGATGATGGGCTGAGCCCATGGATGTGGAGTGATAGTCCGTATTTTCTGACTGAGCAACTTCTCTTTTACACTTCCCTGTTCCACCTCCATCCAGCCCTGCTGCCCTGGTTTGTCCTTGGAATGGAGCTCAGGGCTGTTTGCTGCTTGGATCAAAAGCCACCAAATAGCTCCTTATGGATGGTGTCACGTGAAAAGACCAAGGGCACGTTGATTTCTTCAGCAGGTCCCTGGATTTACCCTCATCAGGTGCCTGGGCAGGTCAGGTATGATTTAGATGAGAGGAAGGTGAGATTTGGGGCAGAGCCCACTCAAGAGGAGTCTGGAACACAGTGGGGTGAGCTGAAGGAAGCAACTTAAAAATCTGAGCAGCTTCTTGCTGCTCCCTGCAGCCTGGGGAAGGAGCAGGGCAGGCTGCTACAGCTCTGGGCCTGCACCAGGACACCTGCAGAGAATTCAGGAATTGGAGGGTCTTGCCTCTGGCCAGGGCTGTTTCCTACCATCTTCTGCACAATGACCAAGTCTGGTTTTTCAGCACTCCCAAGTGGACTTCAGTTAAATTCAGGCTTCCCATGTTGTAGGTGCATCCAATTTCAGGTCAGGCTGGGGAAATGTACAGAACTTCAAACTTTTCCAACTGGAAAGAGCCCCAGACTGGCCTAGGAAAGAGCTGCTTTTCCCGTTTAACACCACATAAAATGATCAAGGGCTGCTCTGCTGGCATTCCCAGCAGGCCCCAGCTCTGAGAGGACACCACCTCAGGAGGTTGTTACAGCTCCCTAGAACTCCTTTCCCCAACTCTTCCTTCTCCAGGGCAGGCAGATCTGGGGTGAAACCAATTCCTCTTCTCATCCCTCCCACACCTGCAAAGTGTGATTGAGCTGGAACAGAGAGTTCTCAGTGAATCCCCACATTCCCATTCCAGCAGCTTCAGGGCATGTTCTGGGGAGCTGGAGAGGCCCAGGCCAGGCTGCTTTTCACTCCCATCCCACAGCACCTGAACAGGAACACTGGGCCCTGCTGCTCCCTCTGAGGGTTGCACTGAGGACTGTTCCCAAAATACACCCCCACCACAGTAAAATGCAATCTATTTTATTGGTTAATTATGTACAGGAGATTCTTGATATTCACAGTAACATCAGAGAAGTTACCGCCACAAAGAGCAAGAGTAAAAACAAAACTGACAGTCCACTGTAAACAAAACTAGAAATCCTGCTGGATTGGGTGGGACTGGCTCCAGACAAACTCAAAAGGCACTCAAAGAAAAGCAACAAAAGCCCACTGAGGGACACAGCCTGGATGCTCTGAGGTCCCTCCTCCACGATAACCGGAGGCACAGCATGTGCAGAGCAAACATCAGGGCACAGACACAGGCACAGGATGTTATCCCCAAGCAGGACAGCACACCCAAACATGCTACATGTGAGTCAACACAGGAGTTTAAAGTACCCAGGTCTGGTCATCCTTCGAGCCCTCCCCTCCCCGTGTTACCAGGACAACTTTAAATTCAGCAGAGGGGCTGGGGCTGCCTCAGAGCTGCCAATCCCATCCAGAGTGATTTGTTCAGGCTCTGCTCAGCTCAGCACGCAGCAAGCCCGGGCTGAGAACACACCGTGGTGGCATCTGGTGGCCAGGGGGAGGCCGGGACACGGGGAGGTTGAGGCTGGATTGTGACACTGAACTGAGGAAAGCACAGCCTGGACACGCCCCTTCCCTGGCTGTGCATCAGGGAGCTCAGGAGCAGAGGGGACACAGCCTTGCCCTGCTCTCCTCAGCCATTTCCCTTCTCACCTTCCCTAGGCAGCCCAGGGTGCCCAAACCACCTCTCGTGCAGGCTGTGGGACCAGCTGGGGCACCTGAGACTCCTGCCTGGGCAGTGTCCCCTCCCTGTGCATGCCGCAGAAAGCTGTGTGCCCTCTCTGGGGACAACATGGGCAGGAGATGAGCCTTGGAAGCTCATCCTGGGGGGAAACAATTCCAGGGGCACAGGTGGTAGAAGCAGAAAAGCTTAACAAGAACCAGATTGACACTGCATGAGCCACAGCCTGATCTCCAAGGCATCCCTCAGAGAATTCAAGCCTGGTCACTTGGATACACAGAAAACTGGTTAGAAGTTGACAGCAAGATTGGGCCAAGCAGCTTCTGTTTCAAAGAGAGACACAGCAAGAGGTATTTGAGGTGACCAGTGTCACCATACTGCCACTCCTCACTCCAGCCTGTGATTGTGATGGCAACAACTCCAACCTTTTCCAGAAAAACCAATGGCAGCAGTGGCAACGTCACTCTGAGCTCCTTCAGGGGCCAAGCCCTGCAGTGCAAACCTCCCACAACCACCACCACCTCCAGCTTTCAACAGCTCCAGTCTTCTCTGACACTCAGATTTCCTCTCAGTTCCAGCAGGAGTGGGAAGGGATTGTCCATTTTCTCCGTCCAACACTAACATTCCTCCCAGCTCTCCATGTATGGGGAGGGTCATGATTCCCCTCCCATGATTGCCTGGAGGGCACAGGAGAGTTTTACCTTTGTGACAGGTGCATAGAGGGCACCAGTTCTGTCACAGACACAACTCCCTGCAAAGATCAGACTGGGGAAGGAAGCACTTTTCCTGTCTCTCAGCAGGAGGTGGCTAGAACTTTTCCATGAAAATAACTTTACCTCTTCCACCCAGATGTGAATTTGCTACAGAAAGCAGCTATTTACGAACTTAAGCCTCCTTTTAACTCAGCTCCTTTTATTCTCTAGTTGCACTGTCCAGAGAAAACAAGATGTCCAAATAAACAGCTGGCATCAGCCCAGGAGGGCTGACTTTGGGAGGTGCAATTCAAGCCCTGGTAGCAGCAGCACTGGATTTCCTTAGAGAGGATGGGAGGGTGTGCTCTATGCAGGGACAGCAGCACCAGCACCATGGAGCACCCAGGTGCACAGGGATGCCTCACCCTCTAAGGCTCAGGGGCTAAAAAATTTCATTCCAAATACGAGCTTTCCTCACAGCTGCTGCCAGCAGTCACCAGCAGCATCTTCAGGGGACAAAAAACCTTCCTGTGTGTGCCCAGACCCTTTATCCCCGCAGGATTCCCTGTTCTCATGGCATCTTCCAGATACCAGTCCCAGTCTGAAAGTGTTGCCTGTTCTCAGTGCCTTTCCCAAATTCCCACTTTCTTCTCTTCCAGCCAGTTACAAGCACAAACTGGGCAAGCTGGGAAGAGGGAAGACTCCAGCTTTGCACTGCACTCTGCACAACTTTAACTTCCAGGTGCTAAACCAGAGCTGCTCCCCAAGCCTGGCCTGGCACCAGACAGGCAGCAGGGTGGTTCTGCCCCCTCACAGCCTGTCCTGCCTGGGCACTGAGCAGAGCCCACAGCACTGAGCTCTTCACTGCACCACAGCACCTGTCCCCCACTGCACTCCAGGAGGAGAACCTGCACCTCCAGCATGGGCACACTGTGATTATGAAGACAAAGAGGAGTCATCTGTGTCAGGAATACTTTTTGATTAACCCAAGCTCCTCCAAATTTCACCTGAGGAGACACTGAAGGCTGCTGTAATCCTGTGTTTTCCTTCTCCTCTTCCCCAAACCTCTCCTTTACAGGAACGTGGTTGTCTTCCCCCTTCACCTCCATCCAGGAATACCCTCCAGCCATTTTAACTTTAGTGTCATGAAATCATTATTTACCTCTTGGCTCATTTATAGAACCAGTTCAAGCTTAGCTCTAGTTCCATCCAGGTGCAGTTCCACATGAAGTACCTGTGGGATCAATGGTTTATTTGGAATCTTTTTGCCCTGTAAATACAGAACTATTATCCTACATCTGATCCATAATTAGAAAGGGAAAGCAACCAAACTCAAGTGTTCTCCCTGGGGACTGAGTAAAGCTGCTGGACACATCAGATTAACAACACTCATCATCCTCTGGTGGGCTTGGAGGGCAGGTTCATCCAACCACAGAAGCACACAAGTCACATCCTTGGGTCAAAGTCCTCCCTTGCCAGGACACACCTGAGCGTATCTGATGTGCAGCACCAAATCATTCTCAGAGACTGAGTCCTACAGCAAAAGGTGTCATTGGCCCCAAAAGCCACAATGCCAGGGCAATCTCGTCCCCTGGCATTATGTACACATTGCAAGAAAATCAAAATTAAAACAGCCATTCACACATTATTGGCAACTTTGATCTTTTCCTCACGTTCATTAAACCCTCACTGACGAGCATTTACAATTTAAAAATAAACTGGTTTTCTTTTCTTTTTAGAATAATAATTTCTACAGTTCTGTCAGCCAACTAATTTCAATCACAGCATAATCTAAGAATGAAGCAAATCCTGGCCAAGAACGGCTGCCATGGACTCAAGAGTCAAGGGGAACAGCGTGTCCCAGCTCCTCACATCCCTGCACCCCTCCAGGAACCCATGGTGAACTCCAGTTGATTTTTTTTTTATCATGATTCTCTTGGCAGCTTAGGAATGCTCCAGTCCTCGGGTGGCTGCTCTTGCAGGGATGGGGTGGAGAGGCCTGAGGGCACACCCAGTGTTAATGGCAGTGCTCTGTGATATCCACCACCACTGCCTTTTTCCAGCTGAAGAAGAAGTATCCGGTGCCTGCTCCAGCGGCCACGGCGATGCACAGGTACCCGTTGTAGGTCATGAAGATGAGCATGAGGAAGTAGCTGACCACCACCTGGATGATGTGCAGCACAGTCTGCAGCAGGTGGGGCAAGCTCAGCATCTGCTGGCTGGGAACACAAACCCGAACAGGTCAGTAAATGCAACAGGTGGGAAATGCACATCCCCAAAGTGAAAGCTGCCAGGGCAGCAAGGTGGGTGTGGGATGGCAGAGAAGGTGGCACCAACCCTGACAGGGACTCCTGAGTGCAGCTGGCACCTGGAGCTGTGGTTTTGCTCACAGAGCAAAGCAAGCATGGAGCTTGCTGGGAGGACACAACTCCTAACTGAGAATTTGCCAAGCTTCTTTTACCTCCCCACTCAAAAGCTGAATGCACAGAGGCCTTGACTACTTGTCAACAAAAGGATTCCGAGTGTTTTCTGTCGGGGTCACTGGATGTAACACCCCCACTCTGTTCCTGGGAACTCCCCAAACATGTTCATTACAAAAACCTCAAGCTCATCTGGCTCCTTGCTGCTTTCCTCCTTTTGTCCCCATCCTTGAGGGTGTCCAGGTGTCCCCCATCCTCCAGTGCCACGCAGCATCCCAGTCTGGAGCCAGGACACTCTCCAGAGATCAAAACTGTCTGCACAAAGTTCCTTCTGTGCCAGTTTCACCTGCAGAGCTTTGCTTTAGGAGGAAGTGTAATCCTTACCCCACGGTTTTGTGTGTCTCCATCAGGATGGTGCCATTGGGGCCAGGCACTGGCATGGAGTTATAGCGGATGCTGACTTGGGATTTCCGGAGCAGACACTCCCGGGCAATCTTAAGGCCTTCATAAAACATGGCCAGGAAGAAAACAGCCACAAAAGCACCAGCCATTTCTGACAAGAGAGGAAACATTATTGTCTCTGGGCAGGAGAATGTGTCAGCAGAGTCACTGTGGGATTGAACAACCCCACTGTGCTGCACAGGCACAGCCCAGCTCCGTGTGCATGCACAGATAGGTGGGAAATGGGAATTTCATCCAGACTTTCACTGCAATTTCACACAGAAAGCAAAAGCAGCAATCACTTTTGCTAATAAAACCAAACTCTTGAATTCTACAAATATCTCCATTTTTCTTTCACCCCAGAGATGCCATTTAAACCAGACTCAACACAGCATGAGCACAGATTTTTAGCACAAGTAACAAGGTAATTCCTGAAACATGAATCCTGAAACACCAACTGCAAACCTTTTGTCTGGACTGCACAAGACAGCGTTACTAACCTCCAGGAGAATTGATTGTAAGTCCAGAGAACAGCAATGGCACATTCTCATAGCTGAAGTGGAAAGTCATGGCCTGCCCAAAACACAAAGAACACCAAGATGAGCCTTAAGAGCTCATCCCAAGGAGCTCACAGCAAGGTGTAGCAATGGGGTTTGTATCAGAACAAGAACTCAGATCAGTTTATTTGGTCACCACCTAAACACCAAGAAACTCTCCAGTAGACACAAAAGAGACAGGGATGAGATGCTCCAGGCTGCAGTTCCCAGCTGCTTCAGCAGCCCTGGGCAGGAGGTCCTGCCCTTCACAGAACTCCAGGGAAGTGCCTTCTCCTTGCTTTTGAGCTCCTTTTCTCCTCAGCATCAGCAGCCATCAGGGACTGGGGATGTCTCCATGGAGCTCCTCCTTGCCTCCCTATCCCCTCAGGAACTGGGGTACAGGGCACTCTGCCTTCCCCACACTTGGACCTCGTCTGTATGATACAGCTAAGGGTTGTACAGGTGAGTCCTCTGCACTATGCCAGCAGTGTTGTCTCCCTATGGAATTCCCAATATCCTATGGGAAACAGAGGCCTAAAAACACAGCTACACAAGGAGGTAAAGCCAGTCCACAGCTGTCCTGGGTGAAAATAAGGGCTCCTGAGCCTGCACAGTGAATGCTGTGGGAAGGGGAGACATTAAAGATCCTCAGGTCAGCTGGAGGTGATACAAACTTCCCACCTGAGTAAATACAGCTTGGCATGTCTTGGGCACAGCTGCACACAGGATTTTCACATGGGAAGTCCTGACCAAGCAAGAGGAACTTCTCTTTGAACTTCCCTCATTGCTTAATTAAGGTTATTTGCTGAAGCTCAGAATTATGATTCATTTCAGATCCATAAGGATCAGCTCATTTCCCCCAGAGCAGAAATTACTGTAAAACACCTTTTAGAGAGTACTTTTCATCTCTTCAATGAATTGAACATATTTACATTTAAAACAAAACCCACATAAATCCATGAACCGCAGCTGAAGCTGAGCCTGTTACTTGGTACCAGTGAGGAATGGGAAAACACACATTAAACGTGCTCAGTCTGTTATCTAACATGCTGTACCTATGTACTGCCTTCCCTGACAGATTCATTTGCAATATGAATTCAAAATCCTGTGCAATTACTCACAGTTTTCAGCTGCAGGGCAAGGCAGGGTCCTGTAACTATCCTGTAAACGCTTGACATTTGTAAAGAAATTATATTTACATAGAAAGTAATGGCCCAGGGATGCCAATACTGAGCTGAGATGATGGGAAGAGATTCACAAGGAGAGCAGTGGCAGTGCTGGACTGAGAGCTCCACGTGGGCCATGCCCACCAAGGCTGTTCTGGTGCTCTCCTCTCCTGCTGTGACACTGGTTGCAATAGAAATAGAAGCAGAGATTCTTGGTTCTCTCCTCAGGCACAGAGCTGACAAAAACTCCAACTGAAGCTTTGCAAAATCCACTCCTGAGAACACTCTTACTTGATATGGAAATGTGCCCTCTCCCCCCCTCCTTTTGAAATTTAACCATAAACAGACATATTTTAATAAACTGAAACTCATTCCAAAAGTGTTTAGGAAAAGGAGCAAAAGCTGAAAAAGTTCCTAGAACTGACTACACACAAACATTGATCCTCTGGCCATCTCCACAGAAACTCTGGCCAGGATCTCTGCAAAGCCTCAGTGATGCCAGAATGCACAAGTCTGAACCTGCTGGAATCAAAAGTCAGCTGGAGCAGCAGGAATCAGGACCAATACAGCCTTAATGCCAGTATGGCAAGCAGCCCTGGCAGTGCTGTGCTCCCCAAACCCAGTGTGCTCTGGGAGTTCAGGAGGGAAGGAACAGAGGGAGCTCAGCACAGCCCCTCACACTGCTGGGCAATCCTCTCAGGGCTGAGGGGCTCTCATTGCCAGCCTGGAGAACTCCATTCACTCATTTCCTGAAAGAAAACTCTTGCTTTGCATTTAGCTGGCTGTAGAGCAGACAGCAGGCTGGCTGCTGGAAAGGTTTTTGCAAGAAAAGACAATTTTGCCAAAGGATCTCCAGCTCTGAAATCCATTTCCTGCTCTATGTCCCTCATGCTGCTCCTTCACTGCAGAAGACCCACAATGGGATCTGGTTTAACCTGGATGGATTCCTATCTTCCAGCTCAGGCTCATTTCCAGTTCTCAAGACCACAGTCTTTAAGATGACAAGTTACTCTGAACCACAGACAAGGAAAAGCTCTCTGGTAAATTCTTCTCCACTTACCATCATCATCATCATGTCGTGACCGTGTCCCGAGGCCGTGGTGGGGTGGTGATGCTCGGGAGGGTGCGACGTTGGCACCATGGAGCTGTTCATGTGGTGAGACATCTTGAGGACACAAAGATTCAGAAAGGCACATAGAAAAGTGGGACCCTGAAAAACAAACAAAAAATGAAGCCCTTTTCTAAACAGAATGTGGTTTCTCTACTGCATAAGAAAATATTCCAAGCCACTGAGAAGTGCTGCCTGTGGAAAGGTCCTGGAGCTTCCTCATGGTCCTGCTCTGGCTACAGAGAGCACACAGCAGCACACTTTATAGGAGGTGTGTCCCTCTGCAGCCTAATTTGATTGAGATGGCACCTGGGGCAAGTGCTCAGCATAAAGGAACATTTCTTATCTACATGAGGAAAAAAACAGAGCCCCTTCCCAACTGCAGTCTTGCAAGGGGCAAAAAAAATCACAGGCACCACTTTAAATTGCATATACTAAAGGATCAGATCACAGGATTTCTCTTAATTGACAGCTATGCATTTTATTGGGAACAGTTTAACACAGAAATTGTGTTAGTTGGTACAACACCTACTGCCAGGCAAAGGTCTGCAACTGCTACAGGCAATCCAATTTCATTTCCATGAGCTTTACATTGCCACATCTCCCCTCTAATCACATTACCCACAATGAGAGAAACACTCAAGAGGCTGCCAGTCCCAATCCTTAATCTGATTACAACAAATCAGGGATGTCTGGACAAACTAAAAAAAAAAAATAAATAAAAATACCCTCCATGGTTACCTGTGAGCATGGCTGCTGCATTCTGCCCCAGCACTGCCTGGGCTGGCAATTGCTGGTGGGAAATGAAAATCATCAGGTAGAAACAGCAGTGAGAGAGAAAATAACCTGGGAATACCTGAAAAGCACAGCATCTGTCCTGCTGGACCCTGCCTGGAATCCTCTGTACCCCCCCACTCCAGTCCTGCACTGAAGTAAAACCAAGGGAAATAAAAAGCAAAGTTCAGACACTTTTTCAAATTAAAGTTTAAAAAGAAAGGAGAGACAGACTTCCTTCCACATAAACCATCAGGAGAGATTACAAGTATGTTTTTTCAGATTTTTAAGCCAAAAGCATCGTGTTTGAACAGGTAGGCACGGCTATATTTAGATTGAAGAGAGGAAATGAGACTCTAGAAGAGCTTTCTAAACTGAAAGTAGCAAATAAAACCCTGAAAGCGTTTTGGTGGAGTGGTGGAGCTGGCTCAGCATGTGACAGTGACCCTGTGCAGGGGACACTGCTGGCCCAGAACACCAGTACCAGTGCAGCCCTGTGGAGCATCCATGACAGGGGATATCCAGGGGCTTTGGGGTTAAATGAAAGTGAGCAATGAGAGAAATTAAAGATTTGGGGAAGGTAAGGAAACTAACTCCCCAGCAGTGCTGGGAAGGAACTCAAGAGAAAGACAGAAGTAACACCCAGCAGGTATTGAAAGTAAAAAATGCAGGGAAGCACCAAGAAGCGACATCAGGAACCCATAGCTCAGATGTTGCATAGATGTTCTCATCTCTGTGCTGATGAAGTTTGTAACCCATCTCTTATTTCATCAGACAACCTCACAATAATCCTCTGTGAAGTAACTTGTCATGGAATCCAGTGGCACTGGCTAAAGCAGAATGAATTCTCTGTCCATATTTCTGCTAATATTTTTTAGCTCACTTTGTCCCTGATTTGTGCTGATTGTGTGTGAGACCAGAAAAATGTTTGTGGGGAGACAAAAAGGAGAGAGAACAATGCAAGCAGTGGCTCAGCTGACACAGAAAGACTTCATTCACAGAATGCCCAGTGTGATTTCCATATGGCACAGCTTGGAAGATTATCCTGTTCCAGAGCTGAAACGTTCAGGCTCTAGAACTGCAGTCCCAAAATACAAACACTTGGGGAAGGAATCCTCTACCAAAACACACAAATTTCAAATTGTCTTTTGCATCAGGAAAGGAAGAATAGCCCAAGTGCTTTACCAACAGGATCAAAGGTAAATGTGCTGAGAGGAAAGACGTAACACAAGAACTTCCCCTCTCCTGCAGCCAAAATCTCCTGGAATCACAGAACCATGGAATATCCACAGCTGGGGGGGACCCACAGGATCATCCAGCCCAGCCCCTGTCCCTGCCCAGACCCCCCAACAATCCCAGCCTGTCCATCCCTGGCAGCGCTGTCCAAACGCTCCTGGAGCTCTGGCAGCCTCGGGGCCGTGCCCATTCCCTGGGGAGCCTGGGCAGTGCCCAGCACCCTCTGGGGGAAGAACCTTGCCCTGAGCTCCAGCCTGAGCCTGCCCTGGCCCAGCTCCAGCCGTTCCCTGGCTCTTGTCCCTGTCACAGGGAGCAGAGTTTAGAGCTGTCCCTCTTCTCTCAGTTGACTGATCCATTGCTTTTCCTTTGAATACAACATCCTCACCAGCAACTACTGTCCAATGATTATTTATTCCTTTTAGGATTTCACATCCCTGCCAAGCTCAGCAGGTTCCAAAACACAGAAGCCCACAGAAGCCCACAGAAGCCCTGGCTGGTTACCAGATGAAAAACTGCCTTCATGGCTGGGCTGTGTCCAGCTTTTCACTCCTTTCCTTCTCACTGATCATCATTTGTCTGCAGAAAGGGAGAAACAGTGGATGTGTTCTCAGGATATTGACACTGTAGGAACAAAGAACAGGTCAGGTGTTCAGGAGTGGCTGCCTGTGGCTGGGCAGGCCTTGGCACAGGTTAAAAAGGGCAAGCTTGAACCTCACCTGGATAGAGCCTCACATGCCATCCCAGTGCTGCAACACCAAATCCAACCCCTTGCTGCAATAACCCAACACTGAAGGACATTTTATGAGATCCTGAAAGGATGGGGCATTAACTAGCTTAAAAGGAAATAACCTCATCTGAGCCACTTCAGCTGTGTTTTGTGTCACTGAAGGTAACCAACAGTGGATAAATTTCTGTTTAAAAATAAATCAGTTCCAGTGGAGAATCAGACTGATTTACAACTTAGGAGATCTCTATCTAAGCCTCGAGGTAAAAAACAATATGTAGGCCAGCAGCAGCAGATTAATGGGTGTGTAATATTTCAAATCCCCGGTTGGTTTGCACAGCTCCTAAGAAACAAGTTGACAGATGTGGAGTTCTGTGTGTCACAAGAAGGTGGGGCTTTCACAAGGCTGACTCCAGACCTGAAGGAAAAAAAATCCTCCCCCCTAAAGTTTCCATTACTGTAAATTCTTTAAATAGGTTTAGCCTTGTACAAAGGCAGCCCTTCAGCAGGTATTTCTGCCTGAATGGGTGATTTGCTCTCTGGCTGCTGCCTGCTCCATGTGTTTGCACTGAGAGGGAGAGGCACTGGAGTGGATTCCTGAGCATGGAGCCCTGGAGAAGGATGTGCCCCAGCCCACGGCTGCATCAGGCTCAGGTAACTCTGAACACTGAAGGGAACAGACCCCAGGGTGTACCTGTCACAAGGGACACACACACACAATAATTTTTTTGTGCTCTGCTGTAACCTACTGCCTAAGAAAACAAACAGGGTGGAACAGGAGAGAGGAATGAGGAAATTCTTCTCCAGGGCTTCTTTCTTTCCCTCTCAGTGCTGTTACCCCAGGTGAGAGAAGCCACAGCCTCCATTTCACAACTCCTCAGATTTTTAAGGAAAACTGCAAGATTCAGAAATCCACACATGACTTCTCTTTCTCTGAGCAGGACCTTAGGCAGGCCCTGCTCACACTGAGCTTTCTGTCCCAGCTCTGCAAACCAGGCTGGTGCAGGACAGTGCAGCCAGGAGCAGGATCTGACAGCAGCAAACTGGCAGCACCAGGACTCACCTCAGCCTCTACCAACACCAAACCAGCGCTGCCTCACCCCACACACACCAGGAGGCCACGTTTTCAACTCCAGGGCACAGAGAAGGGGAGGACAGGCAGGAAGTGGCAGGGCACACACGAGTGCAGGTCAACAAGCTGGACCTGATGAGATGCTAAAGCCAGAGCAGTCTTTTCAAGCAGGTCTCAGCCAAAGATCACTGCCATTACACATAACCCCCTCCACAGCTTCCCAACCCACTGCTTCTGCTGTGTTCATCCAGAGTCCTGCAACTTCACAGCAAACCACAGCTTTTCCTGTGGCAAACACCCAAGGAAAATACACCTCTCAATGCAGAAACAGGACACACTATGGGAAGAATCTACCAAGCTCCCAGAAAATACTTTACAATCAGCTCAGAGTCAAACAGATCTTCCTTAAAGTCCCAAAGGGAATGAAGCCCCTTTCCAAATCAGAAGTCCAACAGGATTAACACTGGAGCCCTAAATCAATACTAATTACAGTACCAACTCTTCCCTTTTAAATAGTGCCTCATCTTTCCCAAACCAGCTCAGAAAGCCCAAGAAATGAGATTCCACTGGCTCTGCCCAAAAGGACCAGAGCCTTAAATATCCCCTTTCAAGTGTCCTTTAGAGCAGTTATCTGTCCCACAGAGAGGGTGTTGCTGCAATGGCCCACACAGGAACCCTCCCAACTCCTCTCAGCACAGCTGCACTGATTCGTACCCAACATCTCTCCACCCACACTTCTTATAGCAAGAACAGGGTCAGGAGGTCCCTCTCTTCTCCTGAACAAGCGAGAAAGATTTGGCAATATTTACTAAGAATTAAAATCAAAGTTCCTAAGAGAAAGCCATGGGAAAATTATTAAAAATAGCAAGCTGGAGAAGTAAAGACCTCTTGCTTACATATCACACATGGCTCAGTGCTGCATGACACAAAGGAATGCTACAGAAAAAACACAGAAGGAATGGAAAAGGCACCCAGGAGTTCCTGGCGCTCTACTTACAGCAGTGCCCCTGGCAGACCCAGCTCCACTGGCTCCCAGCTTGTGGTCCCAAGGCCAATCCCTTTTTTGTTTAGCAGCGCTGTAAATGGAGTGGGAGGGGAGCAGAGCCTGCAGACACTGCAGCTCTGTTCACTGGCTCTGGCTGTGGGCTCCTCATCAGGAGACCTAAGCACTGCTTTTAGTTTATTCAGTTTCCTGGCAAACTTTTCTACTTTAACTGCTTCCTTTCCAAATGGGTGGACTTGTGATTCTTCCAGGATCCCAGGCAGAGCTCCAGAGCTGAGGGAAAAACCAATTCC